ATAGCAATTATATAGAAGATAAATTGCAATGCGAAAAGTGAATACCAAAGTAACTTTAGTTTGTAGATGTTGCAATTTGATTAAAGAAGCTGAAAGTTTTATAAAATATGTGATTAATTACTGATTTTAATTTGTTTGGAGGCATTTTTTTCCAAAAAAGAACAAAAAAACCGACCATTCTGACCACTTGCAGGGCATTAGTCGAATTCACTGTGGCTGCTCCAGTTCGTATGCCATTTTTGCCCTTACCATGGTCAATACAATTGCAATAATCGTGGTGCAACTTTTGGAATGGAATGGCAAATTCGGAATAATGACTTATGGTCAATTGGTGTGCAGGTCATTTATTGAATCCACGGTGCATTATTTGAAAGAATGAATGCATTTTCTTGACAAGAATGGGCACCAAACGAAAGAGAAGTCTTTTTCCTCTCCTATTTTAAAAAAAAAAGTACTTCAAAATCCCCCACTAGGCCCCACTGTAGATCCACTGTAGATCCGCCAGTGAAAAAGCGTTTTCAAAGCAGTGAAAAAGCGTTTTCTATCTTATTTTCGAAAACTCATTTTTGAAAACAAGTTAAAAATTTACAAAGAATTTTGAGTGTGTGCAGTATGTTGAATAGTTTGGACTGTAAATAAAAAACACAAGCTTTTGGGTGAATGTCGTCTTATTAAATTCAAAGTAAGACTTAAATTCAAAGTAAGACTTGGCTTATATAAGCCTTTACAAACAAATTGAACGATAAATATGCAGCCACGTTTTCACAGTCTACAAACGTGGTAAGTAGTTGGAAGACTAAATCAAATCAAACTCATGACCCTATTAAATAGGGATTATTAACATATCAGTAAAACAACTAAAAAATATAACTTCAACACTCTCCCTTAAACTGATTGCATTTTGCATTCAGTTTACAACAAGAACACTATAGACTACAAGCAATTTTCTCAGCTTTAAGAAGGCATCGAGCTTGAGGGTTTGGTCATGATATCAGCCACCTGCTCCTGTGAATTGCAGTACACCATCTCCACCAAACCATCCTTTGAAAGATCACGAAGGAAGTCAAATCGAACATCAATATGTTTGCTCCTCCCATGCATCACTGGATTTTTGGAGAGTTTAATCGTTGAGCTATTGTCACAGAATAATGTTGTGCACTTGCTTTGAACCTGCCCCAACTTTTCCAGTACTCTTTTCATCTGAATACTTTGACAAGCACAACCAGTTGCTGCTATGAACTCAGCTTCTGTGGTAGAAAGGGTGACAACTGGTTGTTTCTTTGAGGACCACGCTATAGCACCAGACCTAAGCATAAAGACATACCATGATGTACTTTTCCTGTCATTGGTATCCCCTGCATAATCACTATCTGTGTAGGCCATTAGTTCCTTATTCCCTTCTTTCTTATAAAGAACCCCAAGATCCACAGTCCCTCTCAAGTATCGAAGTATCCTTTTTGTTGTTTGCCAATGCAATTCAGTAGGGCTTCCCATGTACCTACTAATTAAACTCACCGAATACATGAGATCGGGTTTGGTTGAAGTCAAGTACATTAGGCTGCCAACAACTTGTTTGAACATTGTGGCATCAACTTTCACTCCTCCTTCGTCTCGCGACAGCTTAGAACCAGGGACTATATGATTTTTCACAGGATTGCTCTTATTCATCCCAAACGTTTCTAACACTTCTCGAGCATATTTCTTCTGACTTAAATACACACCATCATCATTCTGACATACCTCCATACCAACAAAATATCTCATCCTCCCCAAATCAGACATATCAAACTCATTCATCATAGAAGTTTTGAAATCATCAAACATGCTCTCATCATTGCCAGTATATATTAGATCATCAACATACATGCTTACTATTAAAAACTTACCTTCCTTCTTCGATTTTGTGAATAAGGTGTTTTCATATTCACACTTCTCAAAGCCTTCTCTAACAAAGTATGCTTCAATCTTGCTGTACCAAGCTCGGGGAGCTTGCTTAAGCCCGTATAGTGCCTTCTTTAGCTTATACACCTTGAGCTCCTGTCCCTTCTTTTCATACCCTTGAGGCTGCTCAACAAACACATCCTCACTCGGTTCACCATGCAAGAAGGCGCTCTTCACATCTAACTGAAATATGCTCCATCCATTTTGAGCAGCTAAAGTAACAACCATTCGAACTATGTCTGATCTGGCGACTGGAGTAAAAACTTCTGTATAATCAATTCCATGTTGTTGAGTGTACCCTTTGGCCACTAGTTGAGCCTTACACTTATCAACTTTACCATTTGAATTGAGCTTTGTTTTGAAAATCCATTTGACTCCAATCTTCTTACTCCACTAGGCAAATATGTCAGCTCCCAAGTATTGTTCTTTGCAATTGATTCCATTTCCAAGTCCATGGTAGCCCTCCATTTTGCATCCCTAGCAGCTTCCTCAAATGTAGTTGGATCACTATATGCAAACATAGATAAATGATTTTCATCCTCATCTCCAGACATTCCCTCTCCACTTGTATAATCCTCCATCCAGCAGGACATCTTGTTGCTCCCCTTCATCCGAACTCAGTGAACTATGTTATGGTGTTTCAGCAGAGGATGACCTCCCTATACCTTCCTCATCTGCAGCAACTCCTTCCCCTCCATCTTCTTCAATTTGATCACTCTTATCATCATCTCCCCATTCTAGATTCTCCAAACTTGCATTTCCACTAGCCTCTGCCCAATTCCAGCTCTTGTCTTCCTCAAAAATCACATCACGACAGATCACAACTTTCTTAGAAATGGGATCATATAACCTGTAGGCCTTTGACTCTTCATTTATCCCCAACAGAATGCACTCGAAGCTTTTATTATCCAACTTTGTTCTTTTATTATCAGGAACGTGAACATGTGCTAGGCATCCAAAGACTTGAAAATAGTCAACTCTAGGCTTTTCCCCATTCCATGCCTCCTGGGGAGTTATATCTTTCACTGCAAGTGTTGGAGAACGATTGAGTATATGCACTGTCTAGTTGACTGCCTCAGGCCAAAAGGTCTTAGGAATATGCTTTTCAAAAAGCATGTTGCGTACCATGTTCATCACCGTTCTGTACTCTCGGCAACTCCGTTTTGCTGAGGAGTGTGGGCTGCTGTTAATTGTTTGTTGATCCCATTCAACTTGCAAAACTCATTAAAATTACGAGAGGTGAACTCTCCACCTCTGTCAGTTCGTAAACAACTAATATGTGCCCCAATCTCTTTCTCAACACTATTCTTGAATTTTTTGAAACAAGCAAATGCTTCTGACTTCTCGTGTAAGAGATACACCCCAGTCTTTCGGCTAAAGTCATCAATGAAACACAACACATACCTTATCTGGCTGTTTGAAGTAGGAGTGATTTGACCACATATATCAGCATGCACCAACTGCAGCCTTCGTGAAGCCTCCATAAACTCTTCTTGGGAATTACATCTCTATGCTGCTTCTCTTTAAGGCAATCAGTGCACAGCTTGGAAGGTGCTTTTAGCTGAGGCAAACCATCTACCATTTTTTGTAAAGAAGGGTTCTCAAACCCTTGAAGCTTAAGTGACCATATCTACAATGCCACAAGTGAGATTTGTCTTCTGTGATGGTCTGAAAACATGCGGACAACTTAAGTACCATTCTAGCAAGTAGAACTTCGATTTGTATCATTTCAGTCTGCATGATCAACCCCCTTCTCGAATGATAAATTTTGCATTTCCCATTTTGAATCAAAATTGCAAGTGCTTTCTCCTGTAATTGTCCAATGCTCAACAAATTATTCTTCAATTCTGGAACATAATAGACTTTAGTGATGGCATGTGTGATGCCTCCAACTTGCAGCCTTACATTTCTCTTTCCCGTGACTTCCACTCTCGAGTTATTCCCCAACTTGATTGTTCGCTTGTAGTGCTCATCAAGATCCGAGAACCAGTCCTTGTTGCCGCTCATGTGGTTGATGCAGCCTGAGTCGATGAACTATACTTCCTCTCTTTTTGCACAATGTGTTTCTACGTAGGACATTAGTAGCATTTCATCTTCCTCATCAAGCTCGGCGTAGTTACCTCCCTTCTCCCAGCTAGGGCATTCGTATTGAAAGTACCCAGCTTATGGCACTTGTAGCATTCAACTAGAGCTTTGTTGAACACTTGTCTTCCTCGGCCTCGACCTATTCCTCTAAAGCCTCCACGAGATCTTCCCGTTCCTTCAAACTTGTACTCATCTCTTCCTTCAAACTTCTCCGCATTAGTGACTTTCAAAACATGTTCTTCCTCTGTGGCCTCGCATCCTCTGCTTGTGCACAAGGAGGCTGCTTTGCAGTTCATCTATGGTCATGGTTGCAAGATCATTGGACTCTTTGATTGAGCAAACCACATAATCGAATTTGGTGGTCATTGATCTGAGGATTTTCTCAACAACAGTTGTCTGATCCATCTTTTCACTATGCGCCTTCATCTTGTTGACAATGGTGAGCGTTCTAGTAAAGTATTCATCAACACCTTCGCCTTCTTTTATCTGTAATATTTCATACTCCTTTCGGAGGGCCTGTAATTGGGCTCGCTTAACTTTGGTAGAACCTTGGTATTTTTGCTTCATTGAGTCCCAAATTCCTTTCGCAGCCTCCTTATTCAGGATGGTTTCCATAATTGTTCTATCTATAGCTTGGAATAGATAGTTCTTCACCTTAAGATCCTTCAATTTTTGATCTTCAACAGCTTTGCGTTGTGGTCTCTGTAGGTTCTGCTCCCTCTGGTACTGTTTGAATCTCATTCTCCACTAAGGTCCAGTACTCCTTTGATCGGAGGAAATTCTCCCTAAGCATGGCCCAATGGTCGTAGTGACCATCGAACCTGGGAATTGCAGGTCGAACGAAGCTGCCTTCCGTTGCCATACCTTGACCTCTCTTTACGCTTCTCCGTTCTTCTCTTTTCTGGTCTCTCACTCTCTCAAGGAAACTGCAGTTTCTCAAACTTCACTCAATCACCCCCTGTGGTTGAGCTTTGATACCATATGTTGAATACTTTGGACTGTAAATAAAAAACACAAGCTTTTGGGTGAATGTCGTTTTATTAAATTCAAAGTCAGTCTTGGCTTATATAAGCCTTTACAAACAAATTGAACAATAAATATGCAGCCACGTTTTCACTGTCTGCAAACGTATGGTAAGTAGTTGGAAGACTAAATCAAATCAAACTCATGACCCTATTTAGGATTATTAACATATCAGTAAAACAACTAAAAAACATAACTTGAACAGTTATAATCAACTCAAAATTTTCAATGCGTGTTTTGAATATTTTCAAAACAATTTTTTATGCATTTTAACTATGTCAGAATGACACTGACAATCTGACACACACGTTCACAGCACACCTGAGTTTCCATATTTCCCATTGTTATTTGGATAATTCTACTATACCCGAATGACTCATTCTGTCATGATAACCGAATGGCTAAATTTCCAAAAATATCCTTATCTAGAAATTGTAGCTAAGAACCACTATAAAAACATAAAAACTTCAAATTAGACCCTAAGATTTATAAAGTAAAAAATTTATTCCGCTGACTCTGCTGCGCACTCTGGTAAATTGGTATCAGAGCCTTGTTAGATCATGGAAATTGTAATAATTAAAAATAATTGGTACTATAGATTAAGAGAAAAAGATGG